TAAAATCTATATCTAATTACAAGTATTTTCTAATATTTTACACTATAAATTTTCATCTATATTTGTAAACTACTTTGATATATACAATTATTTTGTGTAAAATCAATTTTCTTATGGTAAATTCAGCCATTAATATAAATGTTGCTACTGATTTGTAACTAATTTATGCAGTATAATGATAAAAACACGATAAGAATAATAAATCCTTATAAATTGTCACTACTACGTACTAATGATTATCTAATTTTTTAAAAATCTGTAAAATAAAAGTGTTAAGAAATTGTGGTGTTAAAATTTTTTGTTGTTCCATCATTACAATTAAATACGTGATTGTTTAAAGTTATAACTATTTTCTGTTATTGATTGCTTATTCAGAAGTTACAGAAGAATGACATGCCTTTTACATATACAATTCTTATAATTTAACTGCTCTTAATCTTATTTCATATCAATTGTTATCAACGATCAAATACTACCTATTTAATTAACATATTACACATATAAATTGAAAGAGAAATTTAATAAGAAATAATAAATGTTGATAATTTCTTATTTATTGAATTTTAATCGACGGTATATTACATACGTATGTGCACATAAAATTATAAAGCAAGTCTGTAAGGATATAATACTATATTTATGTCTATAAAATATTCAAATATATGAAATTAAATTTTCTATGTTTTGATTAAAATAATTTGACGTTAATTCGACGCGTTGTATACTTTAAGTATAATAAATTTATCACAATTAACTTGTACATAAATTTTAAATTGTAAAATATAATTTCAACAAACACGATCTGATTTAATGTCCATGTACTTATTCGTAAAAATGAATAATAGACAACTTTTTTAAATTGGTATGTTGAGATATTTTTTCAGAATATGTTAGAATTTTTCATTCTTAAGTTTTATAACAGATTCTGATTAACATATTCAATATTCAGATATAAAGATATGTTCTTCATTGTAAAACTTCAACTGCGAATAATGCATGTGTGTGTGTGTGTGTGTGTGTGTGTGTGTGTGTGTGTGTGTGTGTGTGTGTGTGTGTGTGTGTGTGTGTGTGTGTG